GAACCCAACCAATGACATTCAAGTGCTATCAGGTGCCTTGCAGGTATTGTGGCAGGTGGCAGTCTTTGCTCTGAGTCAGCACTCAGCCGGCGTTTGCAGCAGGACACAGGGACCGTCTTTGAGATAAGGAACCGGACAGTGTGTGAAGGAACCAGCTTCAGCTTCCTGATTCCTTGGTCAGCTCTGGCTGCAATGAAGTTTAAAACTACTTTATGCGGTGCCACGGGAATGGCTCCCTAAGCTAATGCAACGTTGCTGGGACTCTGGAAATCCTCCTTGCGCCCTGGAGGCATCCTCTAGCATGGTGGTCCTCGGTCTTTTTTGGATTTGAGGCACCCATCGCTGGACTCGAGGCACCCCAGCATAACTTATGTGAATTAAGTGGCACCTGATTTCATAAATGAATAGATTACAGTGCTTATACCTCCTTGCGCAGAGGCCTGGCATTGTCCAGGCAGGGACAAGCCTGAGCGCGGCTTATTTGCTTAGTTTATCTGCTTGTTTCCTCACATCTCACTTATCTCCTCTCACCTCGGGGCACCCTTCAAAAGGTCTGGAGGCACCCTGGTTGAGAGCCAGTGCTGTAGCAGGAAGGGAGAAGTGCAGGGCCTGCCGGCAGTGAAGATCAGAGGAGAGGGGAGCTCTGCAGGGATCATTTGGATCACAGCTTGTTGGCCCTACCTCAGTGCATCTGGCCTTTGATGTAAACCTGGAGTCTTATGGTTGTTAAATCTTTCTCTTTTTATAACGGCAGTGGGGCTAAACACTAGGGCTGGGCCAAATTGTTTCCTGGCTCATTATAATCTGCTTCCTTCAATCCCTCCTGCTATCTCAGCCAGCTGGTCTTCTTCGTGCCACCATGACAGCTGCTTGTGCTTCTTTTCTGCAACCCTGATAACAAAGCCATGTTGGTCCGTGATCATAACCCACCCCCAGGGAAGGGATACAGCAGTAAGGAGAATACCCCAACCCTCTTGCTTACAAAAGGAAGGGTAAACGGTATCCCAGCGAGCCTCCCAGCCCCTCCAGGCTCAAATACTGCAGCTGCCTCCTATCTCTCCATCTTGCTAAGCTGGCACTGAGGCTTTTGCTCCCAGAGCGTGGCGAGAGCTGTAAATCAGAAAAGGTTATGGCAACTCATGATTAGTCAATATTTGGAAAGTGCTCCAAAGGCATCCGGCGCTGCTCTGGTGCTTATTCATTCAGATTTAAATAAACTCAGCACACACCGAAGAGACAGAAGTGGGAGATACGGAAACACTGCCACGTGTCTACCTGAACCTATACCCCCCACCCCGCTACGGTGAAATCAGGAGAAAGACCAGCTGGATACCGTACCTCCTCACCAACACACAAATGCACCCTGAGTGGCTGTCCGACCCGGTGCACCTGGGTCAGGCATCGCACCCCCACTTCTCTCTGCCTCCCTACGACTGGTCCTTAGCAGCATTATCTTCAGGGTTGTGGATATGGGGGTAGGGAGGGCGGGAAAGGTCCATGGGGCCATAAAAAAGCCCTTCCACGCCACACATACCACGACACTTAGGCAGGCACCCCCAGGAACAGCTTGCCTGGCTGGCCACGGTCTTGCACGTTCATGCTGCCAGTCCTTAGTCGAGATGCTTGTCTTGCAGAGGGCCTGATGAATAGCTTTTGTTTTCACTGCTCCTTCTGGGTAAGTCTTGGTGCTAGGAGGGATCCTAACAGGACTGCAGCCTAGCGGGCCAGCTTTCGGGATGGCAACGAGCACGTCTGAGCTTTCCTTCTAGCTGTCTCATTCGCTCACTGAGCGATCTTGGGCAAGCCAAGGACCCTCCCTGTGCCTCCCTTCCCTCCCCAGGGAAAAGGGTACTGGACTGCTTTCAAGACAGGATGTGGCGAGAGCGAATGGCGAGAGCTCTCCGTGAGAGATGCTGAGTGCGGGACACCTTCACGGCCCGTCCTTCTCCGGAGCGCTGTTGAAACAAACAGGAGACTCCGGTTCCTGCGGGTGGCACACGTCGAACCGCTCCGATCTGTAAGATGAACAGCTGGCTCTCGCCTTTGCTGCAGCTGTAAGTCAGTCTCTCCGAACGGAGGTGGTTACTACTCAGTCAAGCTAGTCAGCTGTTAAATGTGACTTGTCCACATGCACTGCATATTTGATGACTAGTTAGAACATGCTTGCCCCGTTCTCGTTCCTTTGCACATTTTATAAGGTGAAGACATGTACACAGGGCTGTATCTGAATAAAGGCTTTTGGAGGCCAGCTAGTCTCTTGCGCCAGCAGGCAAATAAAGCCACTGACTTCCTAGAGGCTGGCTGGTCACATACTAGGCATGGGCTTAATATCTTGCTGAGCAGCGTTCTTAAGACGCTTCATCCCCAGCGTCGTATAACAGCAATGTAATCTTCTGGGCAGATAATGCTGCAGGTTGGAAAGAAATGGCTGAAACAAGAACCTGGCGGCTTAAGGTGGAGGAAGGAGAATTGCTAAGGGAGCCCTTCTCCACCCTGTGCAACCAAGATGCTCTGATAGGTCTCATCTCTCTCTGGGGTCCAGTTATCTCAGGGCTTTTGCTGGGACTGTGGGGCTATCACATGGCCCCTAACCCAACAGCCAAATCCAACTCTTAGCTTCTAAGGGATCATATTCTCTCTGGCTAATTTCCCTTGGGGATGTTGCAGTGAAAGCCCCATGCCCAGACAGACTTCCCGCGGTTTCGAATCCAGCGCTGAAGCTGATGGCTCATGTCTCCACAAGCCACGTGGACAAGTCAGTCTTTCCCTGTCTCTGAATTAAACAGGGTTTCTGATGGAAGACTCGCACACACCGGTCCTGCCTACTGACAACAAGAACGGAGGAGATAATGTGACGCGGAAGAGGCTGAGTAGCAGGATCTCTGTCTTACTCATCATGGAGAGAGATCCTTTTGCTAAAGAAAAATGACAAAAGGTTGATTGACTAGGATGAGGCTCATTAAAAAAAAAAAGATTCACTCAGGCCCAGCACATTTCCTCTTTCTCTGCGTGGTTCTTTGATTTCTGGTCCTTAAGGGAACAAGGACTGATGCTTTGTAAAAGGCTTTGTGAAAAACATGAGGGAACAAAAAAAGCCTTGTAAATGCATCAGCTGTTGGATCGAGGAGACACTGAGGGAGTCCCCGGCCTGGGATGTGCTTGCCCATTGCTCAGATGTCACAGACCCTGCAGGTTCAGGCCTTGGTGTCCTCAGCATATGACTCCAGTGACATCCAGGGGTCCCATTGACGCAGCTTCTCACTGATACCCAGGCTTTCAAGGTAACATAATGGGGTGGACACTACTTTTGCTCACACCTGCTTCACCCCAGTGCAAATCCATGGACTTCACTGGATTTACTTGACGAGACTTAAGAGTGGGAGGGGGCGATTTGATCATACCAAATCCACTGCAGGTGGAATTATTTTATTCTTGGGCTTTGCCTAGATCACTTGCATTGAATCCTGGCAGAGTTTCTGATGCACAGAGAGGAAGGGAGTTAACTACAGGAGACTCCAAGCACCCCGGCCATGGGGAGCTATACAATAGACATTACTGCTACTAGCACAGCAATTTCACTGGCATGTCCTTGTTCCTGGCCTTGCAGTGGGGAAGTCCTGTGCCCAAAGAAGCACTGGGTGTCCCATAGAGTACCCTAACACAGACACCTTGGCTTGGCCTTTATGGCAGCATGGGGATGGCCCTTACCAGCAGGTGGCCCACGCATGGGTGCTGTCCCTGCAGCAGGGTGTGGGAAGCTTACTGCGCTTCTGAGCACAGAGTCTAGAGACAATTGCAATCCGACTCCCTGCTGCCGTGTAAGGGAAAGGAGCAAATTCCTTTCTATCCAGCAACAAAAAGGCTGATCCAGGGTGGGGAAATCTAACAGCCCAGGTGTAAGTTATCTATTATCAAGTGCATGCATGGATTAGTTTGGCCCATTACTTTGATCAATTCAGTGCTTAATGCTGAACTTGTATTGAGCAGTGCAAATGCTGCCTTGGGCATATCCAGCTCCTTTAGAGAGCACCTCATCCACAGGTGTCAGAGCAGGTTGGTCCCTCCATTATACCAAGGCACACAGAGAGGGGGAAAGAGAATCCTCCCAATTCAACCATCAAGAAGAACTTCACTCCCAACCCAGTGTCCCATCCCTGGGCCCACTGTGCCTGCTAGATTAGACCCTTGCTTGCAGAAGGGCACCTGTGCTAATAAAGTTCTTCCTCTCCTCCAAGACCTCTGCAGCACAGCAGGCATGGATGGAGCAGGATGCTCAATGCTCCTTGAGGAGGTTTAGCGCAGAACAACTGCTCTCTGCTTATTAGGGAAAGGTCTTCATGCTTCTGCCCTGTCCCCGCTCTCAGGCTGCAGTCCCACAGGGGCAGGCTCCCGAGGTTCCTCTGAATTATTTCTCAAATAGTCACAACCTAGACGAGCCCATGGACGGTGGGCTCTGGAAACCTCGGTAGACCCATATGGAGTGGGGAGCTGACCTTGCACAATAGCTCCATTTCACATTTGGAAAAAAAAAAAAATCCAGAGGAAAAAGTTCTGACTGCAGTTCTGCTTAAACTTCCCCCACCTCCTCTGCTGACCTGCTCCAGCTTACTCCAGTGAGCAGACCTGTCTATGCAACCACAACCAAAACCCAGACAAGCAGAACTGTGACTCAGACAGGATCTCTGCTGACCCAGCCAGCTTCTATAGTTCTCCATCCTGTCTCCCCCTCACAGGGAAAAGAAGCCTGTTGCAGCAAGCAATGAATGCATTTGATGCTGTACAAGTTGCTAGAATCACCAGTCCTGAAACAACAACTCTGCCCTTGGAGCTAAAGACTAAACAGAACCTGATTGAAGCCACCAGGAGACTGATCCTTGCTCTGACCCCTTCAGCACTTGCTCTTGATAGCAAGTCTTCCTTCACTGTATGTCCAAACCTCCCCTAGTACAGGGCATAAGGCTAAAGCAACGTCACTCTGTTTGCTGTGATACTTTACTCACATGGTGAAGCACCTTCTCTCTCTGAACTCCTCCAGCTCAGTCGCTTGCCTGAAGTCGGGATCTGGAGACAGTGCGCTGGTCTGCACGAGATACAAGTGAGCCGTGTGGGTGAACTTGCACAGACAATAAGCCATAATTTTTCTTTTCAGTCTAACTTGCTCTACTGGTTTGCATTTCTTTAACCCAGAAGCAGAAAGGAGGCACAGCTTAGTTAAAGCTGCTAAACAGGTTCTGCTATAATACAAAAAAGTGGTAGGACCAGTATAGTATGAACTCAGATAGAGATTTGATTGTTTTCCCATAATTATAGTTCAACTTGGGCTGTTGCTTGAAGTCAATCACATTCACAAACAGGCCCATTTCACAGTGCATCCACCATTCAGCTGGGAAGGGTTTTTTTTATGTAACACAGCTCATTTAAAGAGGAAGAAAACCAACTGCATCCTGTTTAACTTCTCTATTCTCACTCAGTTTGTTTAGGATACCAATTCTACTGCTGTCTATGCTACAGTTTCTCATGGCAATCATTTTAATATCACAGTAAAGGCTATAAACCCTGAGACCTGGGCTCTATTATCATGACTAAGCAGGAAGAGACAGCCTAAACAGACAGACAGATAAAGGGTGGGAAGGGAAAGAGAGGGAAATGACTTGCCCAAGTTCACATCAGAGGCTATGGAGTGAGGGTTAGAACCCAGGTCTTTGGAGTCTCTGGCTGTTTGCATGAACAAAATCCACACTTGGAGCGGCGTAACACGAAAACACTAAAAATTAACACATCTCTGAGTAGTGTTAGTTTAAGGTGCTAAATGGACTTTAAAGCAGCGGGAAATCCCGGGTTGGGAAAACACAAACGCAGCTGCGTCAACATAAATGGGAAATTTCATTTGGTCTACACGTGCCCCAGCTATCCTGACTCCCAGCTCTGTGCAGTGTCCTATGAACCAGTGGTTTTCAACCTGTGGTCCGCAGACCCCTGGGGGTCCACAGACTTTGTCTAAGGGGTCTGCAAAATATGACTATGATCAATCAAAATATGCGAATACCCACACTTACAATTCAAAGGGATCTGCACCGCCATTTGAAATTTTTTAGGGGTCTGCAAATGAAAAAGGTTGAAAACCACTGTCATAGACTATGTTGCATTACGGTATATCTGCACTGTAAAGAAGTCTTCACTGGAGCTGGCTAACCCGGGTGAGGTAACTCGACTTAAAGAGCAGTGAAGACAAGGCAGCAGAGGTTAGCAGCTGGAGGCTGGGGTTGAACGCTGAATACTCTGTCCCCTCTTCTCACGCACGTCCACCAATGTAAGTGCTTTGTGCAGGGAGGGACCTACCTAAATCATGGTGAGATGAATGGATTGCTGTGGGCTGCTTGTGGTGTATGGAGCTGATGTCATGGTCTTTTAACGGCAAGTCCCCTCCCCACCTGATGCTAATTGGCCAAGGAGCCTTGCGGCACAGAAAGCCAATTTCACGATCCTTTTGCAAATCCACCCCACTGCTGATTGGCCAAGGGGCCCCGATGGCCCTGCCTCTCACCACTGATTGGGCAATCACTCGCTCATCTTCAGACAGCAGCTTTGTATCTGGCTTCTTAAAAGATGGGACCGAAACCCTTTTGCTTTCCTGACTGGTGCCTTCACTGAATCTACAACAGCAGCTCAGCCTCTCGGTAGCTCTCTCTCAAATCACGTGCTCTGTGGCTGCAGGGATTGCTGTGCTTTCTTTGTATTCTGGTAAGCTTTCAGTTTTTTGTGGGCAGATTCTGTGTCAAATCGTGGGAAACTCCATTTTTCGCTGGGATCAAACAAACTGTTTTTTGGAGTTTCCACAAAAATCATGAAACTGCAATTTAAGTAGGTCCCTAGCTATGTCCTTCATCTTCCTAACCTCCACTATATCAGGGAGCTGTAGTGTCCGCAACTGCATACCCACATTTGCTAGGCCCAGATGCTGTTTTGGAGGCAAGGCAATGTCGATGGCTTCCTACAAATGTCAGTGCAGAGGTGGCTTAGGGACACCAATCTGTTTTTCCCCCTCTTTGTAAAGCATGTAGCTCATTAGAGAAATAACAGATAAAATAAAGACCTGCACAGAGGGGTGACACCAGAACCACCTCCTATTGCAGACATATCCATTGCATACACTCTGGTTTGCTTCGACAAGGTTGCTCATTCATCCAGGGTTGACTGAGTTGTACACAGATTTGCAAATAATGCATATAGTGTGCATATATTCACCCATACACAAAGTGCAAAATGTGCACTTGTGGTCTAAAGGGATTTTGCTTCCCATTAAAAGAAGGGATGTGGCTAGGAGGCATAGAGGGCACGAGAGGCTGCAAACAGTGACTTACCTATAACGAGCTGCAATGCAACATGGCCGCTGCGGCAGAGTGGGGAATTCCTCTACATCTAAAAACACCGTGTAAAGAGAAGCCCAACAAGATCTTGCGGTGACCTAGTGAAACGCTGCCCTCCTAACAGGGCAGGAAAGCATGTTGTTAGATAAGCAACGCACCCACACAGCACATCACCGCAATGGCTCCAAACAGGCAAATGCTGCAGAGAAGGCCAGGGTTGAAGTGCTACAACATCTGGGCTCCTACCTTGCTCCGAGCATGGTGCCTTCAAACAGGCTGAGCTATGCTGTGGAGGGAAGGTACTGTACCAGCAATACACAGAGCACTGGTTTAAGCTTCTGGAGTTCCACTAATATAAATGTTACTATGCTGATTTACACCAGTTCAGGGCTTGGCTCCTTGAGTATGTCCAGTTTGGAGCCAGAGAGGTAGTTTAACTGCGTTAGTCTGAAGTCAGTCAAAAGGCAGGGCAGATCTGCCACTTTATAGGAGGCAACTGTTGATCCTCTGGATCATGGTACATGTGTAAGAGGTCTAGTAGTCACCAAGACCTTCAAAGCGCATGCGTAGGCAAAAGTATGGAGAAGTAGAGGCTGTCCTAGACCTGCCATCTCCCCTTTAGTCCATTGATACAAAGTCCAAAGGCCAGACCGAGTCCAGACATTCAGTGCCTCGATGGTTGCAGAGCAACAGATAAAAACTGCTGCTGACTGCCTAATGCCTCGGTGAGGGTGTGTTTCTGTCCAGGTGATGTCCCTTGGCCTTTCTCCAACCAAGAAGTACCCGAAAGGCTAAGGTTTTGAGCTGCTTTATACTCACCCTACTCTGGAGGTTGTAATATTGTGGTATTTTATAGGAGCTACTCCACTGTGAGCAGCCCCACCACACTGCCACAAGCTTTTTTGGGCTGAAGCTCGCTTCAGCAGATGCTATGAAAGGGTATGTAGAAAGCAGAGTATAAGGAGAATGAAACTGGAACGCAAAAGACAAGGGGGCTGCTAACCCCCCTGTAGTTATTGTTCAGGCAATGTCACTTGATGCGATAACTTGATGCAAAATGTTGATATTGTACTTTCTCCTTCTGATCAGCCGTCTGCCCAGGCTGCTGAAAAGGTGCTGGTCCTAAGAACGTGGTTGCACACCTCACTTACATAAGCAGCAGCAATCACCTAGTGAGCTGTGGTCCTTGGAAAACGTGTAAGGACTGACTGGTTGTTGCCTCGGGGTAGGTATAGAGTTCTTCATCTGTTCCTGGAGGAAGAGGAAGACAACGAGGTGATTCAGGGATCATTACTATTGACCCGTGGCTTCTCAGGAGCACTCTGAAAGAGGAGCTAGGAACAGAGAGATGCCGTTGGCTCCATGAATCATTGCTTATCCCTTACAGATAGTTTGTTTTGCTGAGGGATATGTCAATTGGAGGTCGATTGACTGATAGAGGGCAAAGCACCAGGCTGATGTTTCCAAAGCAGAATTTAATGGAAACGGCACTCAAGTTTTTTGCTGGGCCCAGCCCAAAGAGTGGGAACTGCTGTGGGGTGACGCAGAAGAGCAAAGGTTTGCAAGGTAACTGTAAAGTGGAAGACTGTAAACGACTGGTGGCTGGGAGCACGGTGAGTGTTATGGCGGGCACCACCCAAACCTTGGCAACTAGTGCCTGCCGCTGTTGAATTTCCTGTGGGATCTTCAGTTTTCCCCATCCTAGGCATCAGCAATGCTGCAGTATAACCAATCAGACTAACACCATGACAACATTTTAATGGCGCTCACAACCTCCCAGTAACGTGTGGGTGTATGGGATGGAATAAGGTCTCTTGCAATGAAGCTGGTGATGCTGCCTCAGCCCTGCTGCAGCACATACAAAGTATGCTGATGTGTGGAAAATATAAGGAATAATCTCACTGCATCATTCAAACGTCACCGACCAAGGAGCAAATAGGGGTCATGCAGCTTTAACGAATCCAGTGATTAACCACAAGTGACAGAGGAGGTGATGGCATGTGTCCAGTGCAGGTGGAGACTGTTTTGCATCGGATGAATGGTTTTATAAGAACCTAAGAGTTCCCTCCCCCGAGCCAATGCCTTTTCCTGAACCAAATCTTTTTGGAAGTTTGGATTTTTTTGTCTCCATTTTGGAGCTCCTTTGAACTGCTTTAAATCAGGCCCCCTTTCCATGCTTCAGAGCTTTTCTGGTCAGAAGGGCTGTGCCCGAAATCTGACAGAAAATCCTGCACTTGTATAATTTCCACCCCCGTTCTGCAGATGGGTAGTTAAGAGAGGGCTTGTCTGAGCCAATTTCACCTCTTCTAGGGGCACTCACACTTTCTTACCTCATGCCCAGTATGCAGTACAACCGCACGTCCCAAAGCTGGTTATTGCTTGTTCGTATCTTGGGAGACCATCTAAATAGGAGTCCGAGAAAAAAAATGAATCCTGCTACATAAGAATGTGATCCCCATAAATCTCCAGCCACCTTTTGGTATCAGATCATTTGATAAATGGTTAAAGAGTGGTGAGTTAATTGGTCTGAGAGCATCAAACTAAACTTTAGATTGCTCCAGGACCTTTTCCATTTGGAAAAGAGCAGAGTGCATTTAATGAAGAGTCTGCAGGGTGCATGTTGCAAAGGAATTGCTTTGATATTGTCCATTTGGTGTCAGTCTCCCAAAACTGGGGGACAGTGCCCCCAGCTCATCCAGAGCACCTTTGCTTCCCATCCATGGACAAGGCTGTATACAAAGGGAAAGTTGCTGGAAACATTTATCCTGATAAATTAGACTTTACCACCAAGAGTTTTTAAATTGCTTATAGTGTCTTTAAATACCGTTTTTAGTCCTGGACCAGCCAATGCTAAAAGAGCGATCAACAGTTACCAGCATGTTACTGTCTCCTGGCTAAAGGGTCTCCAAGTAATAAATGTGTCCATACGTATCTGCTTGATCTGGTGGCTAGGTGAGCCACCAATGCCCAGAGGTAGGGTATGTCAACCACAGCGCAGAGATGCTCGAGCTAGCTTTAACTGAGTAGGCTCAGGAGCAGAAGTA